TTCGGCAAATTTTTTGGCAGATGGTTTTTTCATGGCTTCTTTTTCTTTGGTTGATAGAATGGATTCAAGGGCAATTTTTGCATTTAATTGGTTAAGGGATCTTGGGATGGATACAGGTTTTTGTGGTGTGAAGCTGGTCATAGATTTTTGTGGTGTTAGGAGAACTGTTTTTGAACATTCTACGTTATCTTTTATTACTGCTTTGTATGCTTCGTTGTATGCGGCTTCTGCTTCATTTTTTGTTTTGTAACTTTTGTGAATAATATTTCTTCCAAGAATATATGAACTGGCAATTCCCCAATTGTCATATACTCCTTTGTTTTCTCCGTTGAAAATCACGTACCATTTCTTTATATTTTGATCTGCTTGAAGTGGTGGATATTCTTCTGGATTTTGTATTATAGGTTGTTTTTCTGACTTGAGCATTGTTTGTGGCTGACTATCATCGGATGAAATTTCTTGAATGTCTTCTTTTGGTTGCTTCGTTATTGAACTGCTAGCTGCTTCTTCTTTAGGTACTGATTGGGATGATAGAATTTGTATTGTTTGTCGTAGTTGTTCTTTTTCTCGTCTGACTACTTCGAGTTGTCTGACTAATGATGCTTCTTGCTCTTCTTTTTGTTTGAACTAGTGTTTGATTTGCTTCATGATTGCTTCCATTTCAATATATCTGTGGTTTGAATATTTGCGTCTCTTGGGTACCTGAATAATTGCTGAAATTTGTTTGATATGAAAATTTTCATATCAATGTATGCTTTTGGTGATATATTCATATCACTGTATGCTTTTGGTGATATATTCATATCACTGTATGCTTTTGGTGATATATTCATATCACTGTATACTTTATCATTGTTTACTTCAGATGATATTTTCATACTATTGTATGCTTTAGCAATGTATATTCCAGATAGGTTAGATATGAGGTTTCCCTCAAGTTCTAATAATACTTTTCTCATAGGATTATGTACCTGCATCTGAATCAGAATCAGTTGTATATGCATAAATATCTATATCTGAATTTATATCTGAATCTTCTATGGGTTCGTATCCAAGGTCGTATGCAATTTTTAATATATTTGTTTCTTTTTCTTTTTTAGTCTTTTTCGGGCATTCATAAGCTTTGTGTCCTTCTTCTTGACATATCCAACATTTACAGTCTTTTTTATTCGATGGGCAATAATTTGTTTTGGATTGATATTTTTGTTTATATTGTTTTCTATTTCGGAAATATTTTCTTTCCCCTTGTTTATAATATTCTTTATATTTGGGTTTATAAGTTTGTTTTTTCCAAATTTTCTTTTTACTTTGTTGTTTTTCTTTACAACCATATTGATTTACTTTGTTAAAAAGGATGTCACAACATAAATCTATTTTTGCATCTTGTGCTGTTTTTTGTTCTAAACATTTTTTCTGCATCCATGCTTTTAATATGCTTATTCGTGCTCCTAAGGTGTCTGCAACTTTATTTTGTTGTAATGCTTCTTGGAAATCTTTTATTACACTTTGGCTTACTAATGATGGTAATTTTTGATAGAACATATCTAATGCTGCCTTTTTTCTAATGGAGTCTAAATTATAATAATGTTCAGAATATTCACATATAAATGGTTCTAAATAACACATATTACAAATTCGTAAATTAGTTAAATGCCATAGTGATTCTAATTGAAAAGCTTCTTTTGATATTTTATCTTCAATTTGTTTTCCTATGAATTCCTGAATAAGACGGCTTAATACATTTTTAAATGTTTCCATAGCATCAGTGGTGACTATCATCATTGTTTCGGTTTCATCAAGAGATGAAAGGAAACGATATGCGTTACCTTGTGTTTTATGAATGATATAATTAAGAAAGTGTTTTGGGTGTAAATTTCTTAATTCTTTGGTTAACTGAATTTGTACTCCCATTTTATTACTCCATTCTTGAATTTTTGCTTCAGGATTTTGGTCACAATCAATAAAAAGAATATCTGAATTTGTTGGAAATGTAAATAATTTAGGTATGTATTGAGGAGGTATTTTTTCCCATTTGTTTTGTTTATTTTTAACCATTCCTTGTCTATATAAAAAATTTTCTTCTAATGAAGGTGGTCCATAAATATATTGACTTTGATAATCATCTTCAACATATGATTGTTTTCGTTTTAATCCAAAATTGTTTTGTGAATCTCTATATGGATTTGAATAAGGGTTTTCATCATCTGAAGAAAAATCATATATTACTTCTGCATCATTATTATCTGAATTATTTTCTATTTCTATATTATTTTCTTGAGTTTCAGATGGAATTTCTAGTGCTGCAAATAATTTAGTTAGTGTTTCTACTTTTTCTTGTAAAGTTTCCATATATTGTGTGTATTAAAAATAAAATTTTTAGTTTCTTTTTTCTAGTAAAGTAGTTGTTTTTTCTATCATATTTAACAAATTAATTTTGTTATTTTATCTTCAAGGTTTTTTTATTTGTTCTTGTTTCCAATTTATACTATTATTTATTATATGTATTGCTTCAATATTAGATATACAATTTATCATTGATATGTCAGAATCTATTTTTAAGTCTAAAAGAAATTTTTTAGATTGTTTCAATGTTTTACGAAAAAATTTTAATTCTTGTTTATTTGTATCTAGGCTTGAAAAACTCATGATTATAATTTTATAATAATAATAGTTTAGTTTCGTTTTAGATTTAAAGTTACGATTAAAATTTATTTAATAGTAGTGTTTAAAAGACATATGTTTTAGAATACAAATAGTTTTGTTTTTAGACGTCGTATTTGCTTGTAACGGATTTTAATACTAGTTCTTATGAAATATCTAACATCATGAATATGGTTATTGTTTAAAATCGTACCTTGATTATTAGGTTTGTAAGAATCCTTGAGATTTTTCTTAGAATTATTTATAGATTCTTGGATTTGCTGTATTCTTAAAATAATATTTTTATTAGGAATACAATTCATCAAAATTTTGTTAGACATAAATATATATTTCAAGCATGAATTTGATTAATTTGATTATTAAGAACGAGTATTATTTTAATAAAAATTTCAAATTTTGTAGAATTAATAGTTAGAATAACTCGGAATGAGATTATCATGGAGAAATAATATAACAATTGAATAGAATATCTTGAGACATATTTATGATATTAAATCTTCTTTCGATAATTTTTAATTGTTTTAATAACGATGATTTTTTGAATATGGGTACTTAAAAATAATGATTATTTATTTTCATGTTTATGATGTTTATCATGTTTATGATGCTTATCATGTTTATGATGCTTATCATGTTTATGATGCTGCATATGCATATATTCTTATTAACGATAGATTGAATATGCAAACTGATAATAAGAATAATAAGAACGTTACTTAGCTCTGATACCAAATTGAAAAACATAGCGGAATTAATATGATTAGGATAGAATATACCTGAATGATGCGTCGGAATGTATTGACGATGGATTGATTGTCTGGGTTAGATATGTTTATATGAATATATGGATATGTTTGGATAGGGTTCTGCTATTCAGAAATAGACGAGCTATTTCAACAGAAGAAGATTGAGATCAACTCAAATCTTAAACACTCAAACTTAGCTTGTTTATTCCATATGGGCAAAGGCCCTATTTATAGGCTCAAAGGAGCCGAGTACAATAATTGAGTTGCAATCGTTTGATTGCAATATGACAAACCTATTTACATTATAGCCCCCTAGACTATTGAGGGACTTACACACTTTATGTTACATCACAATAATACGATAGACATATAATAATTATCCTACCGACACTTTAATTTAATAACAATCCCTTCCATATTGAAAGGACCCCCTTCCGTTATGGTAAGCCAAGTTGTAACGACAACACTATGCAACACCATTTTCAACAAATCAACTCCTCTTTCTTCTTCTGCTTTTCTTCACCTTAATGACATTGACATAATTGAACAACACCTCTTATAAAAGGTGTAGATTGGTGTTTACATGGCCTTACAATGTTGTAGACCATACCAATTACCCTAAAGGCTCAACCAAGTCCTATAAGGCTCCATAAGGTAACTTGTGCTAGATGTTTGGTTTTTCATCCCGACCGGTTAAGACATGTATTAAAGGCCCAATCCGTTTCATAACAACTTGGATAAAATGGTGAGTTGTATCGAAAGAATGTGATGTACAACATGTAGCATCCTAATGTTGGTCCATATAAATATAATTAGATTTGATGATGCAACCATGTAATATAATGTATCCTCGTATAAGATTGATATTCTTATAAATCCATACAAACTCTCTCAATAGCATTTTGTGTAGACAATCAATCTTGGGAAATTTATTTATTTCAAAGTAAAGAAAACATGTTAGAAACTTCATAAATAAATTGATGAAAAATACGTTTGTTGTTTTGTATTTTGGTCTTTATTAAATGAGAAGATACTTTCTTTCGACACATATGTTCTAAAATAATATGCAACAAATTTCGAACCCATATACATTCAGAATAATTGGCAACAAATTTTAACACCAAAACATAGACAAATAACACAAATCGACCAAAAAGCCCAAAGGGTATAAATGGAATTACATTTCTCCCTTATAAGAAAAGTCAAATTTCTACATCTAACTAAAAACAACCATGAATCAATTACCACGGCCAAACATGAAGCTCTCCCACTTTTATATACAACAAGCAACAACCTTTCCCTTTCTAAACTCAAAAGTCAAAACCATGTTTTTCGGATTCCTTTGACCATAATAAGAAGTCAAACTCTCCTATCCCCTAAAAAACAACTCCATTAAAAGTTGGAACACAAAAGGATTAAATGAGTACTAGGATACTAGATTACAAACCTTATTAAACAATACATCTTTGTTGTTTATGTGCATAATCCCACCCTTGAGAATGCATTTCCACCTACTTTTTGCACGTGTCACCTGCCAACTAGTTTTTACTTTTGTGATTCTCTATAATAATAATCATGGGCATTTAAGTAATTTCATACCTTGATAAACTGAGCCATAATTAGGTGATATGTATTTACTTCATCGCCGTGATCCACATCATCAAGATCATCATCATTTTCATTCAAAGGCTCTTCTTCATCACCATCCACAACATCATTTTGGTTGACCATGGTAGGAGTTGGTACTTGTAGCTCTTAAAACATACAAATAACGCAAAATACCACGAACAAAAATCAGAAAATAATAAAATAAAAACCGAAACATTTTTACATAACATTAATAATTAGTTTACCAGGGGGAGCTGATGTGTTTGCTACATTATAGTCTTCGTTCACAACTCCTTAGTAATTGTATATCTTTGAATTCAAGATAATAAAAAAGGAAACAAATATGAATATTTGCATAAAAATTACAAAAATCTTGTATAATATAAGATACAATCATACAAATAATGAAATAAATGCCAAGAAAGCTTTACCTCAGAGTTATTAGTTATCAAATCTCCAGCTCTATCTTGCTGTGGAATATGTCCACCTTGAAGATATTGTGAGGGGAAATATTCCCTCTTTCGTTTTCCAAAAGATAAAAAGAAATCCTATGAATAGGATTAAAGAATTTACTAATAGTAAACTAAAGAGGTGTTAATATGTATCAAATAGAAGTAAGATAAACAGGCATTAACTAGATATTAAGAGTATCACTATGGTAACCTGAGTTGTAGGTTGACTAGCTGCTCCTCTTTCAACCTATTCATGGTTTTCCACGTAGGCTAAAAGAAATTAAATAATTAAGAATGGTAATAAAGTTTAGTTATTAATATGAAACATACCAAGATTAACATCAAGAGGGGGTCTTTGGTTCAACCAATTAGAAGTTTACATAATCAATCAAAGAACGTATTAATTAAGTCTATAACTTCAAAAAAGAAAAGGTATTAATGAATTATATGGAAAGAAAGATGTTCATACCATGTAAGGGCTTGGCCTCCTAACTCTGCTCTCTGAAGCTCCACTATTGTTTACAGGAGGATAATCATTTGGGTTCATGGGAGTGCCCTCAGTAGGTATGTTGTGTGAACTGTCCAATGAACTTGGTAAAGGTGTTAGGGTTGTTCCAGGTATTGGTGTTTGAGAAGGAAAAGGCGTTTGCATCGGAGTCTGTACACAAACAACCATACTTAAAGAAACAATCGATGAAGGGATGAACAATAACTCAAATCTCTATAACTAATCAAACCTATACATAGGAAAATGTGTAGTTTTCGCATAAATAACATATTTACTATAGATAACTCACCGGAGGAAAAAGTAAATCAATATTAGGAGTTTCATACTCTTCAAGGTCTTCATAAGGTACATTAAGATCATGAACATGGTTTGTCGGGATCACAGGGGTTGTTAGCTTCATAGAAGATCTATCAATTGGAACCAGTATAGCCCCAACTTGCATCATCTTCAACTCTCATAATTACATTGTCACCAGAACACAAATCCCCAAAAACTAGCATAACATTTGATCCAACCAATAACGATAGATAACATCTGACTCACAATAGAAAAATCAGTCAGCTGGATTAAAACTGAAGAAAATCAACCACAATTAGCTCAAAACAAGAAAATATATTATAATAAAATCGAAAATCACTCACTCCTTGGAATTCGGTAAGGATTACTTCACCAGGGCCACCATTGTTGATGAATTCTTCTATGATGTTGTTGATAACGTCCTCGATGACTTGGACATACCCAGTGCTCGTCGACGAAGTTGCCATTTGGCCGATCACTAGAAACCTAGCTGGTAAGTATGTTCGTCAGAATTTAATTTCAGGGTAGAATTTGGTAGCGCGTTGGAGATTGGGGAAGGTTTAGAATTTAGATGATCGAATAGAATGTGGAGTGAGAGAGATTGGGGTGCGGAATAGAAAAGGGTATAGAGAGTGGAATATAAATAGGTTTGCATCCATTTATATCGGAAGGGTCCACGTGTCTTGCTCATTACTATTCTTTTATGCCACTTTGTCATTGTCTAAAGAGACCAATTATATAAATAGGAATCAATTAATTATCTTTTTCTAAAACTAGGGTGTTGTGTCATCCTTACCATACTATTTTCTCTATCATGTAGGTTTCACATGTGTGTCATGTCAATTTTACTATACAAAGTGTGGTTCTTTGCCACACAATAAGTGTGGATACCAAGGTAGAGAGAGATGGAGAATTGAAGTGAGAAGAGAGAGAAAAGGAGCACGACACATTTTAGGTGAAGAGAGAGGAATCACACTCATTACCGCATACTAGGGGCGGTGTTTGCTACACTGAGGTGTCAAACCGCATTCCTTACCGTAGCCACACCCTCTAGTCTAATATGTTCAGTAGTTTTTGTATGTGAGAAATTAAATATCCTCCTATTTATTCTTCTTACTCATCCTCTTACCACTTTTTAGATGTTGACAAGTGTAATAAAAAATTATTAATTTTATTAAATATGACAAATGTCTCAATCTTAAGTATGTTGGAAGATGGTAGGATAGAAAAAAATAGAAAGATATTTGATTTCTCTTTGCATATTGTTACTAAATTGTTCCATTTCTACAAGCATACATATATAACTTATTTAAGTTTAAAAAAAAAACATTTAACTATCGAAACCCATAAAATTTTTTCTCATATTTCATTATATATTTCTTTAATCCCATTCATATTCTCTCTAATTCCATTCCCATTTTATCCAAATCCATTTTAAATGGATTCTTGTAACAAATACAAAAAAAGACGGTTATAACCAAAGACGCAATCCGCGCAACAAAAGCGCTTCTTAAGATTTAGCATATTCCGTTTCGGAAAGCCAATACCCAAACTACCAACAATACTAACACTATCAACAACAATATAACCCACTCTCAATGAAACAATCCTACAACCAATTTTATCTTCCGCAAGAAAATATTGGTTATAATCACTATACTCAGTTTTCTCAAGCAATTCCAGAAGCTCAATTCAAATATTCTACTCCCGAAGTGTTGCAATTTCTTGAAGTGAAAAACCTATAATTCGAAAAATCTAGTGATGAACTCGCTCGCGTCCATTACATCCAAACTAAAGAAGCAAGTGTTGAACCCAAATCCATCGTCGAGACCGCACATGATTATACCAAACGGTAAAATTCAGAGAAATTGACCGAAAAAAAAGAGGTGGCATTGGCGAAGGTGTAAATGGACATATTAGAAGAGAAGGAACGCAATAATCAACAATGGTCAGAGGCATTTAGGAGCGGGTTCTAGATCATTTTAGAGCGCAACTGAAACGTAGGCACAAAATGAACCCCAAACGGAAAGATTTTCAGAAAAAAAAATGTAACAATTTTAACTGCATTTACAACTAAAAGTTGAATAGTTTAGCTAGCGGTAGATCGAAGATTGATCTTTTAAAGTCAAAGAAAAACGAGTATCAAGGGATCTATAAAATGAAAACATTTACACATGGGGCAGCATAACACATGTTTTTCATGTATGTTTTAGATCACCAAGTTGTTAATTTTAATGAAATAATAAAGATGGTTTAGGAGGGAAGCAACTTCACGACGTGTCCATAAACGCGTTGCTGCCATGACCCAAAACCTTTGGTTTCGACACTACAATAAAATGAAGCTAATGAAACCCTAACAAAATGTTGCATTAGGCCTTGAAAAAGTTGCATAATGCCTAAAGCAACCTTTTACCAAAGGTTGCATTAGACAAAGTTGCATTTGACCTAAAGCAACATTTTTCTTGAAAATTGCAATCCTTTTTTAAATAGTTGCAAATCTTTTTTGGATGCAATCTGTTTAAATGTAACCTTTTTATGCAAAAACAACTTTTTATGCTCATATGCAACTTTTTTTTACATTTAGATGCAACTTTTTTTTAACTGTTTTAGTTACGAAAATGCAATTTTTTTATAATCAATGGCAACATTTATTATGTTTCTAGTAAATATTTTCAACTTTTCTCTATGGTATATGCAACCTTTGTTTCGTCTTTAATTGCAAAAAATTCAAATTTGTTTATAGTCAAATGCAACTTTATTTTTGTGACTTTTCTAACGCTAATGCAAACGCTACATATGTTTTACTACATTGCTACGAATATTCAGTACTACTAAAATCACACCATAACAATAATAACATAAATATATTATATAACTTTATGGACTCCTTTGACATGCCTAAATTCCAAATAACAACCATAAATCAAAGTCAACACAAAGTTGTCAACTATAATCACAAAAAAGTATTAAAAATGTTATAGATGTGTTCTAAACATAGACGATAAATCATATTAGCAACTATCGACCTTCTGGAGGTTGTTTTGCCATAAACTTCCGCATCATGGCTTCAAGTTTTCTCGTTGGTTGTTAATAGCTATTCGCATAGCTTCTAATTTGGCCTATTTTTATGGTCCTCTTGGGTATCTTTTCGCATTTTAGTCAACTGATTTCTTTCAGTTTCATTTGCTTTGAATGATTCCATAAGTCCCGCCGGAATCTTGTATGATGCATCACCACCACACACTTTTTTTTATCAATTTATTAGTAACACATCAACCATAAAGTTGATGGTATCCATCATTCGCTTTGTTCATAACAATCATATAAGGATCTACAACATCACTTCCATCTTGTAAAGGTTTGTAGTTCTTCATTTGTTCCTTCAAGATTATTCAAAAATGAATAAGATAATATTGCTAAAAAATATGTTGTCAAAAATTTGTTTATAATGTATCATTATAGCATGTAACTTGACATACAATCATAGCATGACATTCATCATATAATCATGTAAGCAATACACATAGCACATCGACTCTTAAATAGGTGTAACCTTCTTTAGAGATGTGTGCTCAAAAAAAATCATATGTACTCACCTTAGCTTATTGAATTCTTTCTCCTACTTCAAATCTTGAGGATCTTGAAGGTATTGAGAAAATACTATACACATAAATATCATCATTTTAACATGTATCTTCTGATTTTTTAGATAGTCTAACTATAGTTTTAACATTACTTGAATTGTTTATGTTATTGTTTCATTTTCAGCATTTTTTCAGCTTTGATCATTGTTTAGTGTGTTGGTCATAATGTTGGATTAATGTGTCTAAGCTCATAACTAAATTGGTATAAACTTGTACTCCCTCCGTCCCAAAATTATAGTCCATCTTTCATTTTTGGTTTGTCCCAAAATAATAGTCCACTTCTAAAAATAAATATCATTTTTACCAAAATACCCCCTCATTATTACTTAACCAACTAAGCATCTAATGGAACATTAAATGCAAAGTAAGGACAAAACTGTCATTTTATTAAATAAAGTTAGTGGTAATTAATGTTTTCTTAATATGTGTGTTTTTTGTCTGTGGACAATAATATTGGGACGGAGGGAGTAATTAGAAGCAAAGTCCTTTTTGAGTTGCCCTCATAACTAGAAACTGATTATAATAACATTTGTAGAGAGAGGAAATAATTTATTAGTTTATTATATGATTAATAAATTAATTAGAAATAGATCAGAATTAATTTGAAATTAATTTGGGATCAAAAGGAATTAGTTAGAATTGCAAGGGTTGCTTGGTAATTGCTTAATAGTTGAGCAAAAGAGAGGTTCTAAAAATCCCTTGCCTTGGACGGTTTTGGAGTGTCTTGCAAGGAAATCCAGAATATTCCATTTAATAAAAGGAAAGTAGATAATTAGTAGGATTTGAAACGATAATATTTTATGTTCAAATCAAGGGTTATTGAGTTTTCCTAGAAGCTATATAAAGGGACATTTGGCTAACAATTTTGGTGAACTTCTCCTTAAGAGTACTATAGCTGAAATTTGCTTCCCTCTCATGTCTCCTCTCTTGTGTTCTAGTTTCTAGCTTTGGGTGTGAGCCATTAGAGGCATCATCCTTTTGGTGCTATCTTTGTGAATGTCTACAAAGGAACGAATCAATTGAATTGTTTGCAATAACACTTCAAAGGTATGCATGTAAACTTAAACATATGAATTTTTATTATTGTAGGTTTGTCTAGGGTTTGTAGTTCATAGTATGTTGCCTTAATGTGAATACATAGATCCTTAATAGGTTGCATATGCCCTTAATTGTTAAGTGTAATTTTCCGCATTGTACATGTATGCTATAACCTATAAAAACCGTTAGTGGTGTATGAGCATGAGATAAATTGAACAAAAAAAATTTCGACTTTCTATTTAAGTCACGACGTGACATGCCTTCTACCACGACGTGACACAAGTCTGAAAACCGATTTTCGTGTGTTTTTTTTTGCTTTATCTGATTAGTAGGTTGTCAATTAAGTATTATCTGTTTTGGTGCTGTTAAAATCCAAATTTACTTGCCATATATGATTAAATAAACCTAATTTTAAGGATAAGGAGATAAATAAGAAAAGCTAATCTAGTTATAAAGTAATTGTATGATTATCCTTATGGATTTTGATATCTAATTTAATTGATGTTAATCAAAAGATAGATATTAAATTCATAAATTATTTAAAAGATTTAATTAATAGTTCAATTAAAAGATAAAGATACATCATTTGTTGGTTTAAAAAGATTAATTAATTAATAGTTAATTTTTAAAATTAATTTTTAAACCTTGAAGATTTTAAATGTTTAAAATACACCCTATACATATATAACATCTTTAATACTATATGTATGAGAAAAATCGATCAAATCAAGTCAGTTGAATAAATAGTAGGCCTCATTCACGAAGTCATGTTGTAAGAGGGGTAT